TCACTTTTATTCCGTTTTAGTATCTAAACTTTTAATTTTTTTTCAAAATCATACCTAAAGTTTACTTTTGTTTTATTTTAGTATCCACCGTTAAAAATTTAGGTACTAAAAAAAACAAAAAGTTAACGACAGATGCTAAAATGAAATAAAAACTCAACTTTAGGTATGATTTCGTAAAAATTGAAAGTTTAGGTACTAAAACGTATTAAAAGTAAAACTTTAGGTACTAAATACCTAGTTTACCCTATATATAATTATAATCATTATTTAATAGATTAATAGTTTAATTTAAAATAATTATGTAGATCCTAGTAAACAGTGAATAAATTAAAAATCAGTAGGATTTAATCAATGTGATATGTATATATCACAGGGTGTTGGACACCGTTATAAATAGGATGGTAATAGGTCGGGTTGGGTGGCCCAAAAATTCGTCCCGACTCAAGAAGAAATGATTCTCCACCCGTGACCCGATTCGAGTCGACGAAATTAAGGTTTCACTTAATCCGACTCAAATATATGACTTAGAAACTCAATCCGACTCAAAATAATAAAAATTATATTTTTATTCAATAAAAACAGTGACTTAATTGAAAAAAAATTATATATAGAGGATATTATTGTAATTATCCCTAAATATAGATAAAATTATATATATTTTCGGGTCGGGTTGGATTTTTTTCACCATAAACCCGACCCGAACAATGCATAAAAAAAAATTCAACCCGATCCGACCTAAAAAATCTTACCCTATCAGGTCGGATCGAAACCTATCGAATTCATCTCATGATTTTCGTGACGATGGTTCATTTTATCTACTTATCCACCGAAGTATTCTATATAAAATCAATCAATCAAAAGATTAATATGATCTCATTTGTCACAATATTATTATCTTATTTCCAAATAATATGTCTTTGAAGGGAGAGAGAGAGAGAGACCAAGAGAATTTTATAAGGCACCAGTGGAAATGAACTAGATTTTAGCTTATTGACCAAACAAACCTCCATTAAAGATCTTGAGCTCTCTTCCCAAGGTTCATTTTTTTAATCAAAAGGGCAAATGCGATAAGACGAAAGAAAAAAAATGTATCATTTAATGGGGGTTGGCAGTGTCAGTAGATAGCTCAAATGGGTCTAATTATAATCTAAATATACAGATTAAAAACACTGGAAAACAAACTTTACCCAAAGTGATTTAAAGTTCTCTCTCTCTTTTTGAGTTTTGAAGGAAGGGAAGAGTGAAGAGAAGGGGGTGTTTTGCAATATTTTAACAGTAGCAGTGGCGGTGGTTAATGATCAAAGAGCTCTCTTTTTGATGCAAGCGTGGGTATAAATGCAAGCACATTTGCCATTACTCTCCTCTCTCACTCTGTCTTCAACAAAATAGACAAATTTCCATTGATTTCCTCTCTAAAGTAATAAAACTCTCTATTACTTTTCTTCTCTGGTTTTATTTGACTGTTTTATAGCAGAGTTGCTCTGTTGCTGAGCAAAGCTCAAATTCTATAAAAGCTTTAACTTTTATGTGTACGGGAGTATTGAAATAGAAGGCTTTGAATGAGAGAGCAGGCTGAGTACAGAAAGAAAAGTAAGCACAGAATCTGAAAATGGGTATCCTTCTCCCTCTTTTTCTTTTCTGGGTTTCTCTGCTACATTCTGACTAGGGTTTTGAATTTGAAGGATAACTTTATTTATTGTACTGAAACCAATGCTGTTCTTTTTCTTTTTGGATTAAATTGAGTGCTTGCTGTGGACTTTCAATTTTCCTTACAGCTTTTCCTGTATGTTCAAGCCTTTTCATTTGTGCAAGTTTGTGTACTTCCAATTCTCAGTTGCTGCTTTGGAAATGGAGCTGTTTTCAGCTATGTTTTTGGGGGGTTTCACTGATTGAGTTTCAGAAGTGGGGTTTTCTTGTATCCTAAGCTTTGTTGACCCCTTGTGAACTTAGTTTGAAGCTTGCTGGTGAAGTTATTGTGTACTAATATATTTAAAAAATATAGACAATTTTCCCATGTGATGTGTTTGTTGTTGTTCTTTGTATCTGTCTCTTTTCTGGTGTTTTATCTTTGGTTGTTGAACTTAGACTTGGTGCAATTAAGGGTACTTTTAGGTAGTGGTCAAATTTCCAAGGCTTTAGTTTCTGTTCATCAGCCTGACTTTGGACTATTGCCTAGGTGTTCAAACATAATTGTGGATAAAGACCTAGACTGAAATCTGCAATTGTGTCGAACAGGATGGATGTTGGCGAAAAGGATAAATTCGAGCTAGAAAAGAGAAATGAAAATGACATAAACTACAGGGATCTGGTATGTCATCAGCTTGGCACTTTGGTGGTGGTGGCAATCTCACAAGTACTCCCATGAGTTTAGTTCCTAGTGATAATCCCTTGGTTATCAGTTCTTCATCTTGTTCGGCTTCGATGGTAGATACGTTTTGTTCTAACCTTTGGGATCACCCTTCTAATTCACAAAGCTTTGTGTTTTGTGATATTAATGTGCAAAATGGTGCGAGCTCTTCAAATGCAACGGGAATTACAAAAGGCGGTCCAGCCCTATGAGTAGTAGTATCAGTAGACCATTTGATATGGGATGGAATGCAGCAAGTTCAATGTTGAAAGAGGGTATTTTTTACCGAATGTGACCCGAATTCTACCTCAGAGCCCATCTCAGTTGCCAGCCGACTCGGCTTTCATTGAGCGTGCTGCTAAGTTCTCTAGCTTTAATGGGGGGAATTTTAGTGATATGGTGAGCCCTTTTGGTATTCCCGAATCTATGGCTGTGTATAATAGGGGTGTGGGCCTGATGCAAGGGCCGCAAAATGTTTTTGCAATGGGAGGGTTGAAATCAGTATCTGGTGTGGAATCTCAGAAAAGTAAGTTGATTGCCACTGAAACTTGTGGAGATGCTTGTTTGAAAGCTGAAAGTAGGGCTACTCAAGAAAGTCCGCTCAAGAACGAAAGGAGAAGTGAAAGTCTCGTGCGGTCTAATGAAGAAGCAGGACAAGGAAATGGTGGCTCGGGTAATGAGTCTAATGAGGCCGAGTCTAGTGACGGTGTTGGTGGTCAAGATGAACCATCTACACTGCATAGTACAGGCTGTGGACCTTCAGCTAAAGGTGTTAGTTCTAAGAAAAGAAAAAGGAGCATACAGGTAAAACAATGTTTATCGATTCTTTCCCTAATCCACTATTTACTTTTCGTTTATACTCAGTTTTGACTGTTAAGTTTACGATAGGATGTTGAGACTGATCAAGCTAAGGGAAGCCAATCACCAGTCGAGGCTGCAGAGGATTGTGCTGAAAATCAACAGAGTGGAGACCAGAACCAATCTACAGTGATTAAGGCTACAACGAATCAGGGAAAACAAGGGTCTCAAGCTTCTGATCCACCAAAAGATGAATACATTCATGTCAGAGCTCGAAGAGGCCAGGCAACAAACAGCCACAGTCTTGCAGAAAGGGTAAAGTTTACATGGAACACTTGCTAAAGTTTATATTATTGAGATCATCCAATAGGAGCTAATCGGTTATAACTTCAGGTAAGAAGAGAAAAGATCAGTGAAAGGATGAAATTTCTGCAGACCTTGTACCTGGTTGCAGTAAGGTACGCTTTCTTGGATGGTATAGCTTAACGAATACAGTCAAATTAACTTAGCTGTGGTCAAAACAGCTAGTTTAGTTCAGTTTGTAAGGCTTTATCGGTTCTTGCAGGTTACAGGCAAGGCAGTGATGCTAGATGAAATCATTAACTATGTGCAGTCCCTTCAGCGGCAAGTTGAGGTATTGGAGCTGAATTCGCAACAGCTACCTTTGAATACTGTATAGATATAACCATATGTTACCTTTCACAAGCTCTAATGTGTCACTTTATTCTTCTTTTTGCAGTTTCTATCAATGAAACTTGCAACGGTGAACCCACTGCTTGAATGTAATATAGAAGGGCTTCTTGCAAAAGATGTAAGCTGATTTGTGTAGATTTAGCTCTCACTCATGCCTATATGTATCTCTTCTAATCCATTAAATACGGATTATTCAGTCACGGGCTGGTCCATCAACTCTGGGGTTATCTCCGGACTTGTCTATGTGTTATACTCAGTTACATCCATCTCAGCCTGGACTTGTTCCGGGTGGCCTTCCTGTCATGGGGAATAATGCTGATTTTATGCGTAGAACGCTTGGTTCCCACTTCACACCAATGGCCGGAGGATTCAAGGAACCTAATCAGGTTTTACTTTTCTTCATTTTTCTTATAGTTCACCCTTTATATACGCTAGCTTTAGTGCAAGATGCGAATGACATGAAATGTTGTCTTCTTAACTTCATGAATGTATGAGGATTACAAAATTACTTCCTTGTCGATACATTTTGATTCTAGCTATCAAATGCATGGGAGGATGAGCTCCACAATGTCGTCCAAATGAACTACGGAGCCGGTGCTCCTTCCGACAGCCAAGAAGTAAATGGTATATTCTCTCTTTACTTAACAAACTCTGATGCTCGTGTCATAGGCTGAATATTCTCTGACCCTTGCTTTAATTTATCTATTTCTTTTGCAGGGTCTCAACCATCAGGCCATGCGAAAGTAGAACTTCGATCCTAAAGGGTTTATAGCTCTATTCTGGGCAAAGCTCATATTTGAAATATGATGTCGCCATTTTGTTCCCCTTTACTTATTGAATAGCTGTAGATGCTATTGACCGGGTTTTATAGCCTGGAATAGCAGTCACGTTCGATCGAAGCAAGTGCATCATGCTTCGTTAAATGTTTGTATAGATTGATGATATGATTTTTTGTGTGATGTAGGAGTTATGTTTTATCTTGTAATCTTTGATGGTGTCTTCTTGTAAATTACAGACAACAGTGAGATGTCAGTTGGTATATTTTTTGAGTATATTTCAATGCCATATAATGTTCTTCAATTTTCTCTCAACACACCAAATTTCATTGACTCGACCAAATGAATTCAATTTAAACACAAAACAAGTTTTGCTTTTCTTCGTTTTATATGGAGTAATAGCTAGTTGAGCTGCTCGGCATCCTGTTTAAGCGTCGTAAAATGCTCTCGGCGATCTGCCTCGTACTGCCATTCCCATGGTGAAAAGCACTAACCAACGAGGCAGGCAGCGACCTATCTTGTGAGATGTCCGAAGCTGACTTATTTCCACCTTTCACTAGGAATTTATCAATCATCCAAAAAGATTTTTGCCAGAGGCCTTCTTCTTTGTGCTCTCTCACTGCATTCAAGATATGTTGAATGGCATTCAATTCATTCAACAGGCTCACACTCTTGTCGACGTCGACATTCTCGTCCAACAAAGTACATATAGCTGCCATTGAAGCTTCAACTACCTCACTATTCTCATGATCCAGGCATGCCAACAGCCTTTCGACGGCCTTTGCATCGATCAAACAAAATGTGGTTTCTGAAGAACAAACGCCTCTATGAACTGGACATAGTAATGGTATCCCTATCCTTTTTGTTGAACTGGAAGATCGAAGTTTCGGCAGGTGGAACAATCTCGTAGACTTGGTTTTCTTCATTGTCGGTAGCTGCGATAGATTTATTGACTCTAACGAGAGATTCTCCAGTCCGATTGCTGATAATCTTTGAACTTCATCACTAGATGTCCTCATGAGCAGTTCGGTGAACACCGATGTGAGCCTGTGAGCTTTTGCCAGAGACAATATCTGTGGTTCATACAGTGTAGTTGTGAATCTAACAAGAATCCCAACTAGGCCCTCTAAGTAAACTGTTGCATGCCTGCTAGTTCTTATTCCACTTCTTTGGATTAAACCGATTTTTTGAAGGATTACGGGCACAACATTCTTGTGCAGAAGAGCAAGGTTGAGTGTTAGATTCTGCTGGGGGAGTTTTGCCAAAAATTTTGCTGAAACTGCCTGCTTCTCGGTAATGTGGTTCGTTTCCGCAGGGTCCTCAATCAAGCTCTCAGGCAGCCCCCTGGTTTTGCAGAGTCTCTCTGCTAGTGTGTTACCTATGTGCGGTGAAAGGGTAACGAGTAGCTTGATTGCTGCAACCCCGAGTTGTTCGTGTGGGTAGTTGATGAATTCGATGAGGGTGTAACTTGCTTCAGGCTCGTTCAGAGCCGAGAAAACCGTTGCCATCGAATCGGATGACTTTGTCAGGGATAAGAGAATTCTGATGAGATTGATGTTGAGCTCGTGAACTCTCGAGTTCTTAAGCATGCTGATAATGCTATAGACGACATAATCCGAACTTATCTTGTGTCCATGGGGATTTACTTGAATGCTGTAATGCTCAACCCCGGACTCCAGAATATTAGCAAGTATTGCTGCAGCTTCTTTCTTTGAGTTCATAGGTTCATTGTATATCCTACGAGTGAACATCTCTTCAACCATAATCTGGACGATACCGGCTTCGACAAGTATCGTTCCATTCGAATGGTGAGACGAGATTTGTGCCAAAGCTTTGAATGCAGCTTCTCTGACAATGGCGTTTCCACTTTGCACCATTTTAATGAGACTAGGAGCAGTCCTCTCAGCCACATAGGTTTTGCTGTCATTACCAAGAATGACTTCCCCTAAGTAGCTTGCCATTTCCATCTGCATCTCCTTGGAACCTGCATATTTACACATATCAGCATATTTCTCTTAAATTCATTAATCGGAAGAATGTCAATCATGAAGTTAGATTACCTTCTGTTAGATGATTCAGAAGAGGTTCCAAGAACCCGTACTCGGCCATCCGCTTTATGTTATCTCGAACTCTCTCCAGGTTCTTTAAAATTTCATCTGCTGTTTGGGAAGCAAAAGAATCAACCTGATGGTTGTATTTGATTCTGATCAGAATCAAAATTGCTCCGGTTGCCGACCCGATTTTTTCGCCTAAAGCTCGACATCTTGAAAGCTCAAGTAAGAAAAGCAATGATGCATAACGAACTGGCTGGTGGCTACTTGATAACAACTCAACTAGTGTTGACATATCCATTGTATCAGCGATCATTTCCTGAACAAAACATCAAGAAAACGGTGCAATAGTTAAGCCATAGTAAAAATTCACCAGTTTTATGTTCTTTTCGTGTTCGTAAGTATGCAAACCTTTCCTTCGTCATCGTCCTCGGCCAATTTTCGTAATAGGTCCAGAGCTTCACATCTGACATCTTTATCTTTGTATCCAAGTAACTTATTAAGCGATGGCAATATTCCAGCAGTAAGTACTTGCACCTTACTGTACTGTTTCCTTTTGCATATATGTTGCAGGTCCCGTATTGCCTCTAGTATCATACTATTCGAACTATCCAAAGATAATGCCGCACGAGCAACCTTGATCCTCGCAACTTCGTTCCGATCCTTCCATTGCTCTATCGTGGTCTTTAAAGCAACATTGGTGCTTAAAACCCTGCTTGTGAGCTTCGTCCCTGTGGTTGGACATTTTATATCTTCTAGATGACTAAAAGTTTTGAACCACTCCGATATCGCCTTCCTCTCGTAGGTCACTCCACTCTCAATGGTAACTGGATCATCCATAATCTGCTTAGTTAATGGACAGAAGAAAGTGTCATACATAGGTTCGATATAATGAGCTACCTTTGGCAACATTGTCAAGGATTTGTTTATACTCTCATACAGTCTTCTAGGACTTGAAATTTTAAGAAAATCATTTAGCAAAGGCATGTTCAAAGCTCGAGAACTTTCGGAGCCAGTGGAGACTTCAACGTCAACGGAGTAAAGATCCGAATCTATTGGAATTTGTTGTGGCATCTGAGAACTTTCTATTCCCATTTTTGATTTCTTAGGATGTTTTGTTGCAGAATACATCTTTGGTTCGAGCTCTTTGGTTTGTAATTCTTGATGCTGCTCAACTTGGAAATGGACATTCTGCATTTCCTCTGAAAGAGACCAGACTATAGGCATTTGTTGTGGCATTTGAGAACTTTCTATTGCCATTTTTGATTTCTTAAGCTGCTCTGTTGCAAAAGACATCTTCGGTTCCAGCTCTTCGACTCTTAATTCTCGAGGTTGCTTAACTTCAAAACGGACATTTTGCATTTCCTCCGAGAGAGACCGGACTGCAGTTTCCGCATACTCCTCGCCTCCGAATGTTGCAGATGGTATCAAGCACAGGCATTCACCTATGTCTTTTATCACCCCTTCTAGCTTGGCTATGATACTTCCCTGGTTGGTTCTCTTTATGGCATTCTCCCACAAGATCTTTTGCCAGATTGACATTCTGGGAAATGGATTGTAGAATCTCCCTTGCATTTTTCGGGCGGTTTTCGGTACGCTTTAATTCCATTATCGCCGGAAAAACTCGATAAAGGTAACATCCAACTTCAAGAAAGCTTTCCTGCTCTATGTCTATACATTCTAATGATTCTGTTACTGCTGAAATATCTGCCAACAAGGATTCTAAAAGACCAGCAAAGGCGATGTTGTCTTTCTGGAAAACGAAAAAAAGATCGAATTCGAGACGTAAGTACTTTCTGTTTCTTGTAATTCAGATAAACAAGGCCAATATGAAAATTCCAGGATACAATCAAGCATTGTTCATGACCTAGACTATGGTTTCACTTCACATATTTATACATGTTTCGACGACGACGAGCTAGCCCATCTTATCCGGACTCGAGTATCGAATACAGTACGTATTGTACGATAACTATACTTGAATTTTCTTAAGTTCTTCATATATTCTAAAGACTATACATCAATAAATGCATCCAATACAAAAGAATGGAAGAGTGGTACAGAGAGATGAAGATTTTATAAAGCTCGTACCGACATCGTCGAACCGGAGCCGAAACCCTCCGAGGATTCTCCTGGTATTCAACAGAGTTTCAGAATCTCAAAAGACTTGAGTTGGGGATAACAAGATGTTTCAAGAAATAAAAGTAGGTCATTGAATCAGTCTCTTGTCCATGGTAGTTCAGCATCCTGTTCACTTTCATCATACTGAAAGTGGCCGATTTTAATTTCCTGATAAGAAAAGTCAATAACACTATTGATTATAATACACAAATTGTGTATGTATGTATATGTATTGACATGCATATACATACATGAATATGAGATAAAAAAAAAGTTGTTTGACAAAGGGTCATTTTATAATATTAATAATTCTAAATTCATCTCTTTTAGGGATTTCACTTTATATATTGACCTATAGGAGTTGTTAACTTGTGATTTTGGGGAAATGAAACCTTGGTTGATTTAATTAAAGATATTGGTCCACTAGTTGAGATGACGAGACTTTGGCCTTTGACTTTCGATATATATTATGTGAGAATAAATTACATAGTATGTTTAATTGACATTAATACTAGATTGGTGGTAGTTGGATGGTTACATCTTTGTTTATATATATATAATTATCGATATTTAATATATTGATCGACTAATTCAGATAGGGAACTGGAGAGGAAACGTGAACCTCCCAAACCAGTTTACTCCATTTGCAATCATCAGAGTTCGAGCCCCTAAAGAGAGCTAGAGTCTCATCCCACTAGACCAACTGGTTGTTAGTTGTCACATCTTTGCTTTGTAACATATTGGAGCATACTACATCTATATACATATAGTATGATTTAGGTTTTTCTCATGTTACTAAGAGTAGATTGTGAGTGTTGATCGAATTGATTAGGTCATGTAAAAATAAAGTAGGGAAAGAGAACCTCTCTCGACTTGTGAGTGTTGGTCTACTTGATTAGGGTATAAATGAACAAAAGTTCAATGAACTGTTCGGAACTGTTTGTATAATAAACATGTATGAACAAAATTTTTATGTTCATTTATTAATGTAAATAAACGAGTATGAACAAAATTTGTATGTTCAATAGACTGGTAGTTTATGTTCATTTATTAAGCTACATAAACGAGTATTAACAAAATTTGTATGTTCATTTAATAAACAAATGAACACAGAAAAAGTGTGTTCGTTTCGTTTATGTTTATGAACAAGCTCGTTTAGAAGCTTGTTTATTTTTTTGTATTTTAAATATTAGTGAATATATATACTAAATTGAATAAATGATGAAATTTGAGTTTAACTATGAATCCTAAGAAGTTTAAGCACTAGTTGTGTAGTTTTACCATTTTCCCTATTATAACACAAAAGAAAAACCTTTTCCCAGCTCTCTTTTTCCTTTTATTCTAAATCAACATGTTCGCGAAAGCTAAACAAATATATTTACAAATGATAAACGAATGCTAAACGAACATATTCGCAAATGATAATTGAATATTAAATGAACATGTTCACAAACGTTAAACGCTAAATGAATGTTCATAAATGTTAAACGAACATGTTTACGAACATTTAAACGAATACGAACACTTTCAAAAAAAAAAGTGAACTCGAACAAGATACTAAAAAATTAAACGAACATGAACACTATAAAAAATAAACAAATGAATACGAACACAACATTATTCGTTTAAATTCGGTTCATTTACACCCCTATACTTGACACTTATTATAACAATAAACGGTTTATTTTGCTGTGATCTTCTCTTGAATTCTTAAAACTTCTATCACTCGATCTATGAAGGGAAAGAGAACCCCTCTTGGCAGTGCTGCGGTGGAACCGGAGGCTCGGGAAGTCGGAATAGATGGTTACAATGGGCCTGAGACCAAGGAAGTAGTCACCTACAATGGGCCAAGTCTTAACCAGTTGGGTTTTGTTCTTTGTATTATAACCACCATGGATGGATCATACAGCATAATTAGCCCTACTATCACATGCTACGGACCTGGTGGGGGGGAACAGTCGATAGAAACAAGATTTAAGTAATTGTCTTATGTTTTCGATGCATACGAAGAAGAATTGTCGTCAATAGAAACAAGATTAACTGGCTATATCACCTAGAAGTAATCAAATTTGTCACAGTATATTGCACATTTCAATATGTCTAACTGTATTATTTCTTCTTCTCCAAATACGGTTTCGTACAATATTTTGTGGTGGCCATGTGGCGGAACATGCTATTCCACATGTTTCAAGGTACGTGTGGAACTATGTTTGCCGGATTTAGACCCACTGAATCATTCAAATGGTGTTGGAACATGAGCTTCAGCTTCACTGCTTTTCATGCATGGGTGTCAAGTAAGAGGTTGAGGGATTATTGTTATTTTTTGAAGTTTCGGGTGAATAACAGTTAAAACAACTGAAAATTGTTTTAAAAAAAAAGTTCGAGTAATGGGGGCATGGGAATGGGGAATAGTAGCCAACTGATTTGGGAAATCAAGATCGAAACCTTATATATATATATATGCGCAGCAAACAAAAATAAAAACTCTAATATTTAGGGTCAGTGCCCGTTTTGATGTTTTCGTTTTGTTAACGTCAGTGGACGTGTACTTTGTTCTTTGTTAAGAGTACTCTTTTCCTTCAATTAAGTTTAGGAGGTTTTTAACGAGACTTTAATATAAGTTTGTTTAATTAATAAAATTCATCTTGAGAAAAAAAAACCCTAATATTTCTCGTTGAATGCATGGCGGCAGACAGGAGCAGAACACACGTACCTTGCATTCTACGTTATCTAGCGCACCACCTCTAACACTATGCAGCAGCTTCATAGACCACTCTTTCAAATCCCCTTGCTCGTCTTGGACCTTGAAACAAGTATTTCAATTTATTACAAATTCTAAAAAGCATTGAGATTCCCATCTAGTTTTCAACTTCAATCTCGTTGACACAAGTGGGTGATATATCTGGAAGGTCCAAGTAATGTGTATATATATATATATATATAGTGAAAACCATAGTTCTAAGCTAAGAGCTTTGACTTGGGTTTTTGTTACATAGGTGCTGATATCTATATTTGACCTAATTCCACCTTTAAAACCTAAATTTGTTTCTGGTTTTTCATTCCCAGAAAGAAAAAATGGCTGCTGAGAGGGTCATAACATTCCTCTTCATTTTAGTTCTACTTTATTCTGCATTGATCTCCTTTGCACAAGACAATCAAGGTAACATAACACCATTATCAAATTTTTTTCCATCTGAGTATTTAATGCATGTTACCCTATAGTTTTAGGGTTTCTAAAGTTAAAGAACTTGATTTTCTCTTTATTGTTCCCAGGTTCAGACCATAACACAGTTCCAACGGAAAGGTAATATAAACTGATAACAATTATAATGATTTATAACTATTGAATGTTGCTTATGTCTGAAAAAGAAAAATATGGGTTTGAGCAGGAACTAGTGAATGGTGCAGGTGAAGTTGCTGCAAACAAGAACTGGGTAACTGGAGGGAGAAAATTAATGGTGCAAATGAAGACGGTGAAGGATGTGAAGATGAGTGCTGTTAACATTTCTGATGAGGCCAAGGATCATCAGTCAAGTTTCGAGACTTTGAATGCTGATTATCATGCACCAAGGCACCATCCTCCTAAGAATAACTAATTAGCCAATAATATATATATATATCAGTTTTCTTCAATAAAGAAGGTTTAAATTAAGAATAGTTTTGAGAATGTTTTGTTAAGATACAGTTCTGGTCTTCCCTTATATCCATGAATGTTAAACATATTAACATAATATCATCTTTTATCTTAAAGATGGGATGAGCTTTTAGTCCATGAATTTGGTAATATTTCTCCTTTTGATGGCACACACTTGTAGTACCATACCATCAGAAATAACGAATTGAAAAAAAAATGTTTTCTCAAGTACTATATGGAATTGCATGGGACGACAGTCATTTTAATAAAAGTTTTCTGATTTTAATGACTAAACTGTAAATACTCTAAAAATTCAGTGACTGTTAGTGAAGTTTACCCTTTTATTTTTATTCATATGGCATGTTCTGACCATTCAAAGAAAACTTCACATACCAACGTTTTTCAATTATCATCTCTTGCACAAACCAGAAGAATCCATGACGAACAAAGCACAAAATTCATCTCAAAAGCAATATTATTTATCAAACAAGGTCCATGAGGAGATGATTCAAGTGAAAGAACAAAATCCAAAGGGCTTAAAGAAGATATAAAACCAATTCCTACTCTGCTCACCCCCTTAGCTTAAAAGAAGCCAAATAATATTTACACCACACAACATTCCCAGAATCTTTCCCAACTAATCCTTCATCCCAACCGCAAACAAATCCTAAAACTACCTGGTATCAATATTCGGATATCTCGATGTCAAAACTGGCACGAAGTACCGAGCCTCGGTATCTGCTTCTGGCCTGAAGTAACGGATTTTCGTTTCTCGAATGCCGGGTGGAGCAACTCTTGGAACTTATCCAAGAAAAAGGTCCACTCCTCCTCGTTCATGTCGGCTAGCGTCACGAAGCTCGCACTTCCTGGAAGCTGCTCATTTGCACTCCTGTGGCCAGACGAGTTAGTGAGATAACCATTTTCTTGTTTTGTTTCAGAGGGTTTTGAATATTTCTGGCTCTTGTCACCTAAGCTGGTATTTTTTAGAGACATTGAAAGCTTCGAAATGGATGGGATCGTCTCGCCGGCTTTGAAAGCGGATAAACACTGCTGCTCTGCTTCCTCTTCACTTTCCTCCTCGTCTTCCTCAAAGCATTTGTCTAACCTTGAAAGTGGGAAATGGTGATTCACAAATCCATTTCCCAAATAGAATGGTGCTTTAGTCATAAAATCATCTGTACCCATTTTCAGGTTTACGTCTAACTCCAGGTCCTCAAAGTCGATATCAAATTGGAATTGAGCATCTCGCACATTTGACTTGGGAGATGACAGTTCCATTTCTGCAATCAACCTCCTTGCTTCAAGACAAACAACTTCAATCTCACTAGGTTCCTCTTCTCCAGTCCGGAATTCTCGACTCATCATTTCGCCGATCTCTGCGAGACAGAGACCAAGTGCTGCAGCTTCCTTGAGGAAAATTGTGCACAGTACCAGAACACGTAGGCAAGCCTCCCTGTCATGGGGAGTTCCCTTCGTAGTATCTCGCAATCCTTAATAGGATCAAGGTTTTGTATATACTCAAGTTCATCCTCA